AATTATTAGCACTTTTTGTACATCAAATTATTAGTGAATAAATACTCTATTCATTGGTACATAGGTCTTTTTCATATAAGGATTAAAAGAGATTTAAGGAAAAACTACTTCTTGTGTCAGTTTTCGTAGAACAATTTTCTTGTCGCTCAAATTTAACTTACAGCACTGAAAAAGAATAGGGTTATGAGGTAGTAAACAAACAAACTTCTTCGAACAACCTTCGATGACGTCATTCACACAGCGAAACAACCATAGATATATAACATCATATCAGTGGAAACAACGCAAGCTTTGTTTCACGCCGGTGTGTGACACTGTAGTACGACCAATTCATGACTCTCTCACATCAGGCTTGCCATTACCCTTTCAGCTTGCCGAATTTAACGGAGGTCTTTTGTATACTTGATCGGTTACCGTTTGGCCACTATCTCGCCTAGTGTTAAGCGAAGATACGGCCTACATTAAAGCCTGTCTGCTCATAAGCAGCCTATACATTCGGGCCTTAAAAGTTATACCTTGACAAAACACAGACTATGGCAAAAAAATCCACTACTTAGCAGTTCGTATAAGGAAGTATGAAGCGAAGCGCTACGTGCGAGTTGGTGGGATATCCACCATAAAGCGGTGGCGTTTCGCCGATTATCTTGTGCTACGATGATGGAAAGGACTAGGGGGAATGAAGTTGTATTCAATCACTCCGCCCGTACACCGAATAGTCTATATTCAGTAGAGAACAACAGGGTGACACTTTTAACTATTACTATCTTTTACCCGCGGCGCGTCACAAAAGGATAAAAAGTAGCCTATGTGATATATACCAATACACACAGCGCCATCTATGCTAATACTTTTGTTTTCCCTCGGGAATATCCGGGAATATTTTTCCGGGAATAAAAGTACCCTATTATTTAATCCGGACTTCGAACTTTACGTCTGAAAAAATTCAAAGCAATCGGTTTAGTAGTTACTGCGTGAAAGCGGAACAAACAAACAAACAAACTCACTTTCCGATTTATAATACTAGTAAGGATTATTATTTTTTCTGCACTATAATAATTTAACCTAGTCTATAGAGGTAAATAACTTACAAAGTTCTAGATTTCAATTACAGTTAGGCAATCAGCAGATTGTTTTAATTTGTCACAGCTATATTAAGAGCCAACGTTGAGAGACGTGACCATATTTGTTAAAGATAAAGTGCTCAAGGGACGCTGGTTGTGACGTCACTTAAGAAAAATCTAGACTACTTATCTCGCAACATGAGTCATTGGTAACAACTGATACTTTGTTATGTTTTGGTATTCTTTTAACTGAATGTTTTACGGTCGGCTGAAAAAAATATGTCTCGTGTTATCCACACTTATTCATGTGCAACGAATTATTTTGAACAAAGAATTTGTTTGTTTTTAAATTGTTGTCGATTTATTTTGAAAAGGTTATCATCGCGCTGTGTTATATTCAAATAAAATACATAATGAACGTTTTTTTTTTTTTCGATAGATGCAAACTTCTTTTAAAATCTACTGTAACAATTCTCTGCATCACCCTATGGTTGGCTGGTAGAGAATGCCAATCGGCATTAAGTCCGCCATTGTATACAGTTGTACATAAAGTGTTAAATAAATAAATAAATAAATAATGTTGATTTATAATATAAATCAGTATATGATAGTAGACTAGTAGAGATATCAAACCAATAATTAAGATAGACAACAGTAAGTAAAATAGAAGTCCGGTAGTAGGTACTTTACATGGCCTCTGCTACATACTGAATAACCATTAATGATCACTAGTAAAAAGAAATTAAAAAGACATTAAGTAATTAGTCTAAGGTATATTTAATTTCTTCTTATTAATAGATATTTTGTAACAAAGAAAATAGCTAGTTATCAGTTTATTAACCTATGAACAGTATGAAGTTATCGTTTAATAGGCACACTTATTATATACATCAGTATAACTACGCTTGATCGACCACTATCGCGCTTGTCGTACCTAAGCGAAGTTATATTTATTTCCTATGGAGCTAAATGTTTAGATTTTGTAACAAAACAATGTCATAATGCGTTATAATTAATCCCAAAGGAGTATAATAGGAATTGGCAGAGATGCATATATGTAGGAGCCAGTTCTCACAGTTACCTACTATGTTTATGAGTCCCATAACATCACATCGCCTGCATTTTATCCCCGAACGGGTAGACAGAGACGCACATTACGGCACTTAATGCCACTATACGATGTAACACCCACTTTTCAATATTTATGTTATGAGTCCCTTATAATAGGGGGTGAGCCTACTGAAAAATCCAGGAATACTTTGCCCAATCCGGTAATCGAACCCGAGACCCCTTAGGCAGTATGAATCCGTTGCAACGGAAAATGCGCCTATTGGCATGACAATGCGCCTATTGACATGAGAATACGCCTATTGACATAAGTACACACGGAACAAAATTCTGGACCACGCACTACCTACAACTGAGAAATTCTCGATAAAATTTAGCTAGAATTTGCAAAGCAAGTTTAGTATTAGTTTCATAATATTTCTCAATATTCACCTAGATTATAACTGACGTGTGCAACGTACAGGATAAATTATTATTAGCGTTATACTCAGCTCTGCCCACGACACTATGTGTTGGCTAGCTGTCGGTTAGGGATTACTCACAATACTCATATACATACATGTTATGTAGGTACATACACAACCAAACAGAGACTCGTATGAAAAGATCCCGAAATACAATCGTTTTCGGGTAAAAACTTCGACCGATGACAGTCCTTGACGAAATACGCGATGACGTCGCTTTTGTTTACATGATATGCAATGCTTAGGGCCCTGTTTCACAATATCTGGATATTATCTACAATTTGAATGAACTATCTGTCACATAAGTTTATCAGGTACCTACTAAGTAGAGGTGGTGAAACCGGCGCTAAGAATATTAGATAGGTACCAGTCTAGATAATGTTCTCTAATTATAATGATAACTTAATGTATAAATGTACATACATACATGAATAATTATGGTAACCGTTTCTGTACCCAAACACAAGCTTTAGGGCCGGTTATTCCATCGCCAGATAAATTTTACCCAAAGAATAACTTTGCATATTTGACATTCTACTATACTAATAAAAACAGTCGAATGTCAATTTTATTCTACAGTTAAAAATTAACTGATCATTGAAAAATCGACCTTATTAAACTCAAATTATGTAAAGGCGAAGAAGCAAAGAAGAATTCTTTAGTGTACCAACTAAAACCTAAACTTATGCTTTATAAATCAGCCTGAGTTTCACTAGCATTCTCTCAATCTGTAAATATCTACATACCTAGTTATCTGCATAGGTATGAGTACTTATTGCTACCTTTTGGTAATAATTTGGTAATAAAACTATTTGTCTGAACTCGCCACATAACAACAGTCGTATAATAATATTGTTAACATTTATACACCTTGTATTATTCCACTGAAACTGAAATTAGATTAAATAAACAAAGCTATTTATAATAATATGAGCTTAGTACATACCAGTTCCAAAACCGATACAGTACATCGTATTACTCAACATTTGGATGCATTTGTTTGCTTTTGTGCCTTGTATTGTTGACTATCATGAACCTAACCTAAAGTTGCCCAGCTATACGTCATAGTTGTGTACAAAATTGTGTGCCCACCACGTGGGTCTCAGTCAAAGTCCCCGGTCGAATAATGTAGTAAGTCCGCTCCACAGGGCCGGAGTAGGACCTCCTCGGGGCCCAGCGTAAACAGGCACCCAACAATGAAACTGTCCTCTGCCTTACATTGTTTAATATTCTCAAATCTTAAACTTAGGAAATTACTTTCTCCTGTTTATCCAAATATCAATTGGACCAACTTGATCTTGATTAAATTAGTATCCAAATAAAAGGTACAAATAAAGTCATATTTTTCTGTTATTGTAACCGTTTGATTCTCTTTGATTTCTCTTTGTATGTGTGTTAATGTAATTGGTGTAAAGCCGTGTTAACATCACAATAATAAATAAATGTCATTGATTGGGGACCGGTGACTATTATAAAGTCGATCATCAAATTCTTGATTGATGTATTAAAGAAAAAATAAAGATTCTGAAGATATTACCAACCACATAAACAGTTCTATTACATATAGGTGTTGTCCCTGCGACCTGTGACCATATTACTGCTCTATCGATAGGACAAAAAAAGAGACAATTCAAGTAAAACTTCTTTATAGATAATACCGAAAAGCACGTACCTATTAACATTTTTGTGGTAGTATGCTGAGCAGAAATCTTTTGTTAATCTTTGTTAGAAATCATGTTGTTCTATCTTCTACTTCAAACTGACTAAGATAAGCATTATATTAACTTAACAGACCTACTAAACGAACCCCCTTACATTAATTAAGGATAGCGCTGAAGTTATAGTGGTAAAGAGAGATAGACATTGTTATTTATGTACAGAAATGTTTACTAAAACAATGTTGACCTTATCATCATTAGATACATTTTGAATACTAAAACTAAACACTACTTATGATATAAATTAGTTAATTGACAACACACATACTGTGAACTTTGGCCTTCCATGGCACTGCGCAACTATACTCACTAAACATGAATATTAATTGAATAAACAAATACAGATACTTAACACTATCGAAATATGGTGCCTAATAACCATCGATAAAACTTTATTTCGCATTTGTTCAATGAACAATGAACAATATCCTATAACCACGTGTATATCAATAGAAAAATACACCCAACATTAGAATAGGCACCTCCATTATGTCACACATATAACGATAACGCAATAAAATATGTAATAAGAATAAATTAACTAAATTCCATTCGGTAAACACGCTAAATTTTGTACTAAGTAATATTCGTTTCTGTATTATACGCGAAGCAAAATATACTAGAAATAGACACAATACTTAAATAAAAATGTATAGAAAAAGTAAGAAAATTAAATAAATATAAAGTACCTTTTGCCATATTTTGTTGCTAGTCATGTTGGCTGCGTGTAGAACAGAGATATACAAACACGAGTGTGCGTCTCCTGCGCCAAGCGACTGACAACTGCCGGAGCCGGGAGTCGACCGAACTCGAACACGCCGACACAAACAACTTCAAACAGGCAATGTACGTCCCGCGCCCACCCATATACTACGTCACTACATACAAAAATACTAATACAACGCGCGTTACATACCGCAGTGATGACTAAACACTCATTTAAAGCCAGCGGTGTATGTTACTCACTGAGAAGAGATGTGACGAGTTATGATGCGCTAGCGGTGACTGCAGTGCGGGGTTCGCATTGCTGACAGTTTTTGTCATATGTTCGTTATGAAAAAAATATACTGCATTCCTTATGGGATGATAGTGCGTGCCATTAGGCCCTGACTGAGTCATTTAGCTGCTTTGGTATTATGATTTTGGTTATTTGTACAATACTTTTGCATGTCTCATCACTGAATTTTGATTTATGTGACACGCTCTCATCCCTTAAGTAGATAAATAACATTAAGGGTCTGTTTCATAGTGTCAGGTTAAGTTGACTGGCATAGATGTAAAATATATCATAATATCCCCAGCCATAGGTACTGTTGTAAATGTAAAATAGGCCCTAAGTATTTGACTGCAAACAAAAAACACAATAGTCCTAAAATTGTGAATTTATTGGACCAGGCTTAAAACTCTTTAAACTCTTTGCTAGTTGACTATGATTCCACACTAGTTGGGAAAAGGCCAAAAGAAAGAAAGTATATCACCAACTAATAATAGGGATGATGACAGGGTTTGAAAAATAAACATCTATTTAGTCCGCTAGTTAGATAAAAAGTATTATACAATTATTTTTGATTTGGCGACCTAATAGTGAAAAAAAATAAACGACAACTTTCATAGAATTAAAGTTGAAACATAATTCATCATTGTGTCCTTTTTGCAACTAATAATAATTAATTAGTGTTACTGGTACTTTAAAAAAGTTAAAAGTACCAGTAAAGCCTTATTAGAGCCCTCGGTGATCCAAGCCCAAAACTGATTTTAATATAAACAACAAGAAGTCGGTTGCATTGAATTATAATGTAAAGCATTTGACGCCTGCAGAAATTGCACTAGCAAATAACGCGCTCTAGTAACATATAATATCATCGAAACATACCTGCACTGGTTTCTTTCAAGCATATCAGTGTTTTACCAAAAGATAAAATTTGTAAACCCAATCATATGACCGCGTTTCTTTATTCATGAAGGGTGAGTTTGCACATCTGAACAACATCATATAACTATAGGGATAGATATTAGATTATTATATTATTTATTAATTCATTTAAATATACTTCATTTATTTTTAATTGATCGAAAATAAGTTTGTAACTACATGGAATTGTTTGCAAAATGATAATTTTCATAATGTTTTCTTATTCCGCACTTTTTTATACTGCGATTGGTATCAATAAAGTTGACATGCTACTTAGATTTTGGGCGCCCATCCGGACATCATACGGACATCATAGGGTACTTCTGTATTGTACAGTACATTTGAAACACCAGAGATATCACAAACACATCTTTATACATACGTTAGCAACCCTGGGCCCCAAAAATCTAGGCGGCCTTCGTCGCATACCGAACATAAAAGCGCCGGCCCTGTGTTTTACCATCGATCAATACACAATTTCACATTCTCATCCCAGTATTGCCAGTATTCATTCACGTCTTTTGCCATTTTATAGGCAGATCGGAATCAAGGCTCACCCTATATCATTAAAAAAACTATTTCGAAATATGATTGCATTATTATAACGGTTTTCTTTGCTAAGATTTCCCAAATACAAGAGAGTTCCAAAATGTTATTTGTCTGAAAAACAATAATAAATCTCATTAAACGTTGGTAAGTTTTAGAATGTACATGGTCATAATTTTCTTCTGTCACAATTCAGTTCCGGAAAATGCCACTGTTTATTTTGTAGATGTCGTGAGTGCCGCTTTGTGTACATAGAAAAGCCTGTGATCAGGTAAACCGGTGTCTTTAATACTGAAGAAGTCTTTGTTGGCAGAGAAATGTGGAGTGTCAGAGAAAGGTGAGTACAGTTTTTATCCCTATATTTATTTTGGTCAAGTTACTACAAACGTATTTGATGTACTGTAATGTTTTGAAGTCTAAACTAGACTTATCTTTCTGCTTCGTGAGAATGTGTTCGTTGCACCCTCATACCCGAATTATCTAGCCAGAACACAGGGGTGGCTTTTATTTAATCAGTTCGACAGTCCCCTTTGTCCTCCCTAAGTGAGGATGCTCTAGACATTTCCACCTTGGGGTGAAAAAAGGTCTTTCTGTCTAACTTTCAATTCATTTCATCTATAGTTTTGTGAACGGTGTAGAAATTACTCTAACTTTCAAGGGGTTATTTATAGAAAAGTGTTTACCTATGTAGTTTCCCTATGTATAATGATAATATAGTGTAATTTAAATATTCTAAGAGCTGTTTAGTTTGACACTAATGTAGGCAACTTTTGTTAATTGAAAGTTAGTTTTCTATTAAATTCTTAGTCCTTATATTACACATAGGTACTATAACTATTACAAAATTAATAATAAAATATAAACAACTTAAGATTAAAATTATAAAAAAGTAAAACAAAAACAACTATTACTTATATTAAACATTTCAGGGTTAATAGTATATAATTAATATTTACTTATATTATAAATGCGAAAGTTTGTGAGGATGTATGTGTTTGTGTGTGTGTTTTTGTATTTATTACTCTTTCACGTAAAAACGGCTGATGGGACACATAACAAACATAACATCACGCCTTTTATCCCCGAAGGGGTAGGCAACGGTGCACATTATGCCACTGTACAATGTAACACCCACTTTTCACTATTTATATTATGAGTCCCATGTAATAGGGGGTGAGCATATTGCCATATACCGGGTACGATTCCAGACTTCGTGCTACTACTGAGAATTTTTTTAAACACCCAGTAATACTTTGTCGAACCCGGGAATCGAACCCGAGACACCTTGCCCGGTAGTCGCGCTTGCGACCACTCGGCCAACGAGGCAGTCAATTTGGAACAGGGGTAGATTAGGGTCTTCTAGAATAACACATAGGCCACTTTTTATAAAACAAGAACGCGGGCGAAGCGGCTGGCAGAAGCTAGCAATGCATAAAATACTATAGACAGTGCTCCCTTTAAATAAAGCATTTCCGTATTAAATAAGACCATTGATAAGAAGGCAGACAGCGCTGTATTTACAAAGACCAGCTTGTAATCGTATTAATAAAAAACAAAAACTGTTTTAAGTTGTAATAGAATGAATGTTGATCTTTTTCTTTGTGAGTCAATTCGTGTTTTTAGTGGAATAAACCAGGAATTTGGACGAAAAGTTATTTAACTAGTACATATATGTATATTTGTGAGTAAATGTGACTGTTACGTATTTAAAGTGTGGGAGAACCATGCTTCGACACGAATAGGCCGGCTCGACCGGAGTCATACCACGGCCTCACAGAACCGAACCAGACACCGACGTGAAACAACGCTTTTGTTGTGTATTGTCGTATAAGTGAGGATACAGGAGGCCCAATTCCCCCCCCCCTCCCCCCCCCGTCCCTAATCCCTGAAACCCCAACAATCCTAAAATTCCTAATCCCAAAAGATCGGTAACACACTTGCAACGCCTCTGGTGTTCCAGGTGTCCAGTGGCGACGCCGATTGGTTACCATCAGGTGATCCGTCTGCTCGGCTTATACCATAAAAAATATTAAGTAATTAAATAGATATCTTTAAAAATTGCTACTTACATCAGCATGCTCAATCCACTGCTGGATTGTATCTGTATGCCTCCTAGGCTTCAAAAGAGGGGTTTTCCATTATTTCCACATTTAGCAGGTCTCAGTTTAAGTTAACTGTAAGCATAATTCCTTGGTCGGTTTTCACAAACCCCACAAGAAGAGCAGGGGTGGTCACTCGTGACAAACCTATTCTGCTTTGGCATTACCACTACAATTTACTACAATTTAGCTACTCACCACACGTCAGCAATTTCTCTATAAAAAAACTCAGCACTAAATTTCACCTTAGTACAGAAAAAAATAAGTAAAATATATCATTTCAATGTTTCATTATTAACACATTAAATACTCTCGTCAGTCGTGCGATACAACGGGGACCATTGACCTGTCATTTGGACAATATTTTCATTGCCACACAAACCGAGATAATAACATTAATTTCAACTTGTATGAACTTCGAAAGAGATTGTTTACAGTAGGTACTGATATTATTCTTGCTGATGATCTAATTAATTTTTATCATACACGGAATAACAGACTGCCTCTTGTTTTGTTTATGTTATTTCCTGTAAGTCGTCTTTAAGAATTAACTAACCTTTATAAACTTACTTTTACATAATGAGCATATTACATAACGTATCGTAACAACACGGCTTTTATTCCTCGCTTTCCCAAACGTGTTGGAAGTCCCATGACTTCTTTAGATGCTAGGGGATGCGACTCCATAGCCATACATCAGCCGATATTTCCTAATTCCAAGATCATAATGATAGCCATCTAACCACCACAGATGGGGCTGATGCCGATACGGAGCCGCGAAAGACTTAACGGATTGTCGAGGCTCCGGCTCGAAGTGCAGGAGTAGGAACAGGGTGGTTTTTACTCAGGAAGAGTCTGACACTCTCTCTTGCCTCACCCGGGCGCGAGAAGCCATTGGATGATTTTCCCCCCTCAAAAATAGCATGTGATAATGATGATCTAATAAATGAATCATACTTTTTCAGATCCCTTAATCAGAGCTGCGGAGGACTGAACGGGTTGCCGAGGCTCCGGCACAAAGAGCAGAAGCAGAACGCGGTGGTTCTTGTCAGTAAGAGTCTGACACTCCCTCTCGCCTCACCTAAGACTGGAGAAGTCATTGGATGATATTACTCTCTGAAAAAAATACGTCTAAATCCAACTCTATCGGCAGTCATGCTTAAAACCAGTACAGAACTCTTAACTGTATAATTACGGTCAAACCTCTGTTAAACAGAAACTGTATGCCTATAAATTCAAATTAAAAAAAAATGAATCATCATTTTTTTTTAGATATCAATCTAAGAGGCTTCACTAATGGAGTGTATGAGTTCTTTTTATGTCAGGTGGTATTTGCCATCACATAACTACTTTAACGATTAGACTTGGTTTTGTAGAGAAGAACATTTCACCAAGCGCCATTTATAGGCTTCCTGTAGAAAAGAAAAAGGATACCAAAGGAACAACAAATAATGGAAACGTACATTTAATTAAAGTGGATGTAGGTCTGGTAGCATTCACAATTAATCAAACAAGCCCTATCATTCATTACCCCGAACGAACTATCAATCAAATTCCAGAAACTTAAATATGAATTAAAAGTTAAAACATATAATATTGTGGAATGATAATATCAGACAGCGTATACGCACTCAAATTTAGGGGTGTTAGTTAAATGGGATGATAGATACGGTGTGATACGACGGCCGTTCACACTGGCCAGAGGAAGCGCGTATCGTATCAGTAAAGCAGTACAGTTTCGAACTCCACCGTGTCCACACAAGCCCACGATGCGTCCCAGCACTGCGCTTCTCATTGCCGTCTTCTCCTGCATCCAATGTAAGTACTTAAATACACGCCTAACATTAGCCATCGCCAATGCATTTTTATTTTCCAATCAACTAGCGAATTTATTTTGACATTCCAATCTCAAAACTCGCGCTTTTTATATTTCTTTTTTTTATTTATGGAATTTTTTGAATTCTTTTTTTTTCTTTGATGTCATTCGGAAATTATCGATTTGTTTTATGTAATCGATATTTAATTTATACTGATATAATATTAATTTTATGTCGTAAGTTATGTATTATCGCTATGCATAGTCAAGTCTCGCGTTTGATAGTTAGATATCAAAGGGTCATTGGTTCATTCGGGTAAAATATATTTTATGGAACGTTTTATTTTAGAACATGTTGACAGGTGGTCTATAGATATGAAGATAGCTGTATTATTTCTCTTTGCTTCTAGACCCTTAGTAGCAAATAAATTGTCTAAGTAACTTCTGTTTTCACGAGTTTACGTAATATGGTCGATTAAGATAACAGCAACTTTATACCTGGCAATATGAAACAGAACCACAGAACCTTTCCCAACTTTACCTCTGCTTTTGTAATCAGAGTCTAAAGTTACATCTGTTTTCCTAAGATTTAAATGTGGGAGCCATACTTCGGCACGAATGGGCCGGCTCGACCGGAGTAGTACAAGGCCTTACAGAAAACTGACGAGAAACAATATTTGCGTTGTGTTTCGTCGTGTGAGTTAGGTTATCGGAGGTCCAATTATCCTCCTCCTCAATCTCCCCAATCCTTGAATCCTTGATAAATTCCTTATCCCCAAAAGGCCGGTAAATCACTTGTAACACCTCTGGTGTTTCGGGTCGTCCATGGGCGGCGGCGATAGCTTACCATCAGGTGATCGGTCTGCTCGTTTACAGGTTTATTCCATGAAAAGACTGTTAAACTTGAAAACTTCAAACACGAAGGTTTTCCATTATTGATGCTTAAAAACATGATTTCAAGCAACTGTTACTTAATACAACATTATATGAAGTCGGTTAAAAAGTGCTTAACATTTCCTAAATGAGCAGTATTTTAGGGTTGAAAAGTCTTATCCGCAATGTTTATCCCATATAATTATGGAACCTGGCCACAGTGGCCGACATTGCAAAAATTACCATCAACGTTGCAGTTCGTATTGCTTGTATTAATAAAACAACCAATGGCTGTGCAATAAAATTGGTTGCTAATAGTACGGTTAACAACTTCAATAGATAATACTAGTTTAAAACATCTGTTATAGTTTTTATAATAACTATTGTGAGACAAAATGAATTAACTAAAAATAATTTGTTTACTCACATAAATATACCTACTGATTCATACATAATTTACAGATGCATAAATTACATGGGACTCATAAGATAAATAGTGAAAAGTGGGTGTTACATTGTATAGTGGCATAATGTACACCTCTGCCAACCCCTTCGAGGATAAAAGGCGTGATGTTATGTTATGTTATAATATACTGAGAAAAGCTCTACTAGTTTCGAGTTACATGTGGACTCTTCCTCATGAGTAGCGTGTGCGAACGCAGCGACGTCAACGCGTCTACAATAGACTCGTTGACGTCGCTGCGTGACGAGGGTGCGTGCGAGAGTCCCCCTCTGTGACTAAAAACTGGTAGAGCTTTTCTCAGTTTAAAAACGAGAGCAAACTGTTCCTTTTAGTTGATTCACCATTTTAACCTCAGGATGCATAGATTGTGAAATCACGACTCCTATTGCCCCTAAATCTAGTAAAAACAGTATGCATGCATTGGCCGTAACTTAGTCAACCACGAGTCATTTCCAAGTTACTGAAAAAAAAAAACAATCTTATTATTAAGTGCTTGCTTGTCTCGCAGTTTGTTTTAGTCTCTTTATGACTTGTCATCTCTGTAGATGCATCAAACTATAAGTACTTACACAAATACATACGAACAGGACGAACAATCAAACGTCAGTATCCTCACTTTACAGTCAAAATCAATCCTAATGGTTATGGAAATAAAGATGTCAAGGTTGGACTGTATTCACGTCCAAGATACCCTTGATACAATATAGCTGCACGTTGCACCAAATGAACTTCAGCAATTTTACAATTTAGGGCACTAGGATACGGCCTTGTGTTACTAGATGCCTGGGTACCTAGGTGCCTGGATGCCTAGCCATTTCGTGCATGCACCGAACGCACTCGAGAGCAAATTGGATCAATTCATAAATAGGTCAGTGTTATCTAACAACCGATGCACTGATCTAATTGAGAACAGATGCTGTTATGCTCCAAACCAGGGCAAGGATACAGCCTGTGTCTAGGGTCCGTAAATTAAACAGGAACCTGTTATAAAATCTTCTATTTATACTTCTAGCTAGTCGTTTACTAATTGTATAAGACTTCGGCCTAGGTAATCTTTACTAATATTATAAATCGGAAAGTGAGTTTGTTTGTTTGTTTGTTTGTTTGTTCCGACTTCACGCCGTAACTACTAAACCGATTGCATTGAATTTTTGCAGACGTAAAGTTAGTAGTCTGGATTAAATAATAGGGTACTTTTTATCCCGAAAAAATTTGATATTCCCGAGGGAAAACAAAAGTATTGGTATAGATGGCGCTGTATGTATTGGTATATATCACATAGGCTACTTTATATCCTTTTGTGACGCGAGCGAAGCCGCGGGTAAAAGCTAGTGACAAATATTTCTGATTATTCAAGTTACTTCGTTGAAGACTGGAATGCGAATAGAAATCTTCTTAATTTGGTCTGTTTGATTCATATTCAAGTCACTTTATAAGTTTAATCTCTTGCTAATCAGTCATCATCATTAACAGAGAAAGTCTATTGCTGAACCAGAACCTCTCAATGAGGCTGGAGTTACCGTACCTAATTAGTAGTTAGGTAGATACATCAATGATGTTATAGGTTATTTCATAATTAAGGTACATTATCCGATCCTTTCAGCCCTTTATAGTCCTTATTAGTTAAAAATTATAAATAGCGACATTTTTAACAATAACTGAAAGACGTAAGTTTAATTTAAAAACTGTCCATGGAACGAGTCTTCCTCACCCCAAGGTGGGAAATCTTCTCGGAGTTCCGAAATGATTTCTCGAATTTCAGGGAAGAGCTTCGAGCCACAGATCATCAACAGCCTATAATTGCCCACTGCTGAGCAAAGCCTCTTCTCACACGGAGAAGGTTAGAGCATTAATCATCACGTTTGCTCAATGCGTATTGCTGATTTCAAACTTATAATTAGAAATTATAAGCCCAGGTTTCCTCACAATGTTTTCCTTCACCGTTTGTTAGTGGTGTCTAACTAAATAATCTTAGAAAGTACATATAACTCGGAAAAAGTCACATTGGTACTTGCCGTTAGTAGGTTTCGAATCCGCACCCTCATGCATGAGAAGCTTAAACCTCCGGGCCACCACGACACTTCGAGCCACAGTCCCTTTGGTAACTCGAAGCTCTGCGAAGACTGTCAGACTCTTACTGACTTAAACCCACCCGGTGTCGTCTCATACAGGTACCTGATCAATGGAACGAGTCTAGCCTAAACCTAAACTGACTTATAAACTAGAAGAAAGTTGTTCAAAATTAGTTGAAATTCCAAATTGATTAATTAAAAAGAGAATGTCAGTGTCGTAATGCAGTGTTGCATACAAAGGATGTATTAAATCGGCGTGGACGGAAACTGGAGATAAAGCATCCCACAGAGGCCCATACGCTTTAGTAATGGGCTGAGTAAAGTTGACAAATATATGTACGGTGAATTTTAGCTCTTTTGCTTATCGTGGTTATTAAGTTCTTTAATATTCCCATTTCGGGTCAGAGTAGAACATATATCACCTTTTCAAGTCTTCCAACGAGTATCATGAAGGCCGACTAAGATACTTTGGGGATTTTTTTTAAGGGGGGAAAATCATCGAATTACTGCTCCCGCCTGGGTGAGGTGGGAGGGAGTGTCAGACTCTTACTGACTAAAAACCACCCCGTTCCTTCTCCTGCACGTCGAGCCGGAGCCCCGGTTACCCGTTAGGTTCTCCGCGACAAGATACTTTAGGGATGGGCATCGACGCTCCTTCCAGTATTGGTATGTTACGTTGATGCTGATAATAAATACGAGGAAACTAATAATATTTCACCAACTAGGATATTCTATAAGATGTCAATTCGCTCGATCGCAGTCCGCCATGTCATGGTTTTGAGAATAATTTCGACTCTCGACCAATGACGGGTGACAGAACAGCGTGTGATGAGGGGGGAAACCTTTATAAGGCGTCTAGCATTTTGTAGAAAGACTAGTTGAGCAAAATTGTGGCATTTGTACCTCACTATAACCACCCAGGGCGGTGGCCATACTAAGCACCTGTAAGGGGTAACATCATCATCATCATCATCAACAGCCTATAAATGCCCACTGCTGAGCAAAGCCTCTTCTTACACAAAGAAGGTTTGAGCATTAATCACCACGCTTGCTTAATGCGGGTTGGCGATTACAAACTTATAATAAGAAATTATAAGCCTAGGTTTCCTCACGATGTTTTCCTTCACCGTTTGTCAGTGGTGTCTAAATAATCTTAGTAAGTACATATAACTCGGAAAAAGTCACATTGGTACTTGCCGTTGGTAGGTTTTGAACCCGCACCCTCATGCATGAGAAACGGGCGTTTTAAACCTTCGGGCCACTACGATGTGTCACACACATGGACAAGGGGGACCGTGTCCTCTAAAAAAGACCTGCTCCAAAGGCCCCACGGTGCAACGCCTGTGACGGCACATCAATAGAATTTTACAGAATAGCCTTGCTGATCTCTTACAGTCTAGGAGTCAACAGTTACTATTGTAGGTAGTAGAACGAATAAGATACAGATTACTCGAGGAACAAACTGTTTACACATATTTATGTAGTTACGAACAAGTGAAACACAAAAATACTTGAAGTAGGTATATTCGGGTGAGCGAACGAGTAGATACCAACTTAATAATATTTACATGAGGATAAGATTTCATTACTTCTGATGACCTAACCTGTATGACCTAAATGTATGAAACATTAAGCTTAATATTTCCGCACAAAAATGTTTATTTCATAATAATATTGTTATTACTTCTGTGTCTAGCTAGAATAATAACAGCTATGCTATTTTGCAACTCTCAATTCGAAAGATCCTCGACCAATGAGGGGCGAGAATCCGATCAAACCTCACTTCGAAAGTTAGAATTTTACAGTTTTTTTTTCACATTATAAGCCGGTAAACGAGCAGACGGATCACCTGATTGTAAGCCATCGGCGTCGCCCATGGACACCCGGAACACTAGAGGTGTTACAAGTGCGTTACCTGCCTTTCGGGGATTAGGAATTTGAGGATTGTTGGAAATTCAAGGATTGGGGTAGGGAGGGGGGGTAATTGGGGCTCCGATAGCCTCACTCACACGACGAAATGCAACACAAGGCCGTAGTATCACTCCGGTCGAGCCGGCGCATTCGTGCTGAAGCATGGTTCTCCCACACTTAAAAGTTACAGAATAGCTTAACAGAATCTGGAATTTTCTGCCAAGATGCCAACTACAACACTATTAGTAAACAATTTGCATTTCAATAAAAAAGTATTTGGGTCTATCTCTTTAAGAAATAAAAGATGGATGTGATAATGCTGTCGATAGAGTACAATACAATTTTCACAACCCCGTCATTCTGCTTTCTGATAAATCTGAACCATTTAAACTGCAATTTCGATACCACCTGGCAACCACAAAAATAATGACAAGTCCACGTCCTACATCATTCCAAAAAGCTAGTCCTTAATTCTAGGTCTTACGTAATTTAAATTTCAGAGGACTTAGTACGATTAAAGCAATTGAAACGAAACCGCGTTCGGCGCTCTGATTGGCCGGTTCTTTGGAGCCAGCCAATCAGAGCGCCGAACACTTTATACGTAAAAAAAACAAGTCGTACTAAAGCCTCAGGACATGAGTAAAAGTGTCATTTTAAACTGATGAACAGTGATGTATTATACCAACGTACACAAACAAGTGTAATTCCAAAACTAATTCTGTTCTCAATATATTTTCCAGTGGCAGTATGGGCCTGTGATGCAGACCAAGCTCACAACGGATGCAAGATCTACGGAGCATCGTGCACATGTGGGTACGGATGCAGGACGGAGTTCATCTACAGGACACGAAGGGCGTGCCTCAATGCCTTGAGAGGTAAGAAAGAGCCTTGTATCATCATCATCATCAACAGCTTATAAATGGCCACTACTAACCAAAAACTTCTTCTGGCAAGGTTTGAGTATTTATCATCACGCTTGCTCAATGCGGGTTGGCAATTTCAATCTTATAGTTATAAGCTCAGGTTTCCTCTCGATGTCTTCCTTAACCGTTTGTGAATGGTGTTTAAGTAATATTAGAAAGTAATATATAACTCGGCAATAGTCACATTGGTAGTTGCCGTTGGTAGGTTTCGAACCCGCACGCTGGGCCAACTCTGGGCCACCACGATACTAGAGCCTTGTATAAGATACACAGATCTGGAAAACCCTCTGCCTAGTCTTCCTTTTTCCCTTCATCATCACCATGTCCTGGAATATGTGTCTATCACTGGACAAGGAACTCCCTCTTAGTCTTCCACGCCAACTGCGCTCCGCACGCCTGGTGCTTTGCCCTTATTCAAAGTTAATATCTAATGGGGATGATGACAGGGTATGAAAATTAAAAATATAATTAGTCCGTAAGTTAGGTAATGAAAAAATATTAGACACGCATTTTTTTATTTTGTCGTATAATAAAACAATACTTAGATAAAACGAATCAAAGTTTAGGAGTGGGGGCTAAAACGTCATTCCTTAGTATAAAATGTACTGAGAAGTGACGTCACGCGACATTTCAAATCAATATATCTTCGAAACTATTCGTTTCTGTGAGAAAATAAAAAATACGTGTCTAATGTTTTTAAATAATCTATCAGACGGACATTAAAATAAAAATTAGTCGTCTACCCTATTACCTTTTTACGAAAAAAAGAAAGAAAAAGCACTTATATGACAGTAGGCAGCACACAGATACAAAAAATACAAAATTAAAAAAAGAAAAGAGTAAAAAATAAATACAGATACTTATATAGGTAATACAAGACAATAATAATAAACTAAAAAGAGTAATGCCAAGAACAAAGAAACAACAGAGTAGAATTAACAATACCTCTATAATGACAATACAATAATAACACAGAAATTGAATATTAATAAAACAAGATTTAAATTATAGATTTTCAGAATGCACCCTGATCTTTCCCGATCTTTTTTTAATCTCCCATAACAAAAAAACCTCTAAACATCACATTATGACCTAATTTCATTCTAAGACGTGTGTGTATAATGAGTGAAATAAACCCATCTCACTACCCAGTATGCAATTATCACCTCACAATTTTACTATTTAGGTATCTTATCGTGTCACTTATTTTACTGACTGTTTAAATTTTTCCTTATATTTTTTCAGAAAGGAGTTCAAATATTTGTAGCCGCCTACCATGCTTGAGGGGAAATTGTATACAAACTGTTCAAGATCCAGGCTTCACTTGTAAATGTGAAGGTACCGGTTTCTACGGGCAACGCTGCGAGAAGGGTATTTTTCTTTTTAATAGTTATAGACATACCTACCACAAAAATGTCCCCGGTACCGCCGAAACTGCGTAAATAGTGATCCTTACTAATATTATAAATCGGAAAGTGAGTTTGTTTGTTTGTTCCGCTTTCACGCCGTAACTACTAAACAGATTGCTTTGAATTTTTACAGACGTAAAGTTAGAAGTCCCGATTTAATAATAGGGTAATATTTTAACCCGGAAATATGTGATATTCCTGAGGGAAAACTAAAGTATTGGTATAGATGGCGCTGTGTGTATTGGTATATGTCAAATAGGCTACTTTTAATCCTTTTGTGACGCGAGCGAAGCCGCGGGTAAAAGCTAGTATTAGAATAATCTATGTGCAGTGGTGTAACTAAACTGTTCGATGCCTGTGGCAAGTTCACCTGGTGGTCTTCCCTTACCAATATATATTTCTTTTTATTTTATTTTATTAAAACGTTGCCACACACTAGGATTTTCTCCTGTGTCGTGCCTGCGATTACAAACATACAATATATAATACACATGCCACCTAGATCCGAAACAACAATTGTGAATCACACAAAGAGTTTCTCCGTGCGGGGATCGAACCCTCTGCACGTTGCACGGCATGCGGTTGCCCACCAATCGCGCAGTTAGAACAGAAAAATAGAAGTTCAGAAGATAACCCGTGGCATTTAGCCCATTTGGCACCCTGTAATTGCGCCACTGCCTATGTGATCTGTTAAACAACTCAAAACCTCATAATCTACCTTCGAAAACCCACTAAGGATGAAGTAACTACCTTCTACTTTCCATGTACAGTACAGTTGGTTCACACCCAATCTTGTTGGCTAAAGGCGGCGATGTTATACCCTGCTATTATTAATGTGTCCCTATTGTATAAGGATTGTAAAATAGTTGATAATAATAAGAACAGGGTTCTCATAATCCTTGAGTCACCCAGCCACCGTAAGAAAGACGCACGTCTCTATAGGGATGTTCCGTAACAGGCTTAGCACCTTGCTCTTTGCCATGCTTCGGCAAATAGGAACCGACTCGACCAGAATGCTACCACGACCTCACAAAAATTCATCATTTAAGTGAGTTTACTAGAGGCCGAATTACCCCTCCCCATGTCCCTAATCCGCGAATCCCCAATAACCCTCAATTTCCTAATCTCAAAAGGCTGGTGACGCACTTGTAAGGCCTCTGGTCTTTCATGTGTCCATGGGCAGCGCCGATGGCTTATCATCAGGTGATCCGTCTACTCGTTTACTAGATTATTCCATAAAAAATGGGGGCGCTAAAGCTAGTCTATTGGAGAACCCGGTGACACTTATAGGTGCTGAGGGTAGCTACTGGGTTTTAGTGGTTTAAGTGATGTAAAAATCCCACACTCCCTCGTCTTTCTCCCCAATTAATTAGGTGTATATTGAAAATTGCCCCCGTCATTGATGACGATAAAACTTATCGATTTGGTATCTTTAAAATAATAGAAGCCGTCCAAAAGATACTGAAGGGTACAAATAGCTTTATGAAGAAACTTCTCTATTACATTTATGCCTATAATTTGAAATACTAAGTTTGAAATTACTAAATATAGTTTAAAAATTGAATGTTTTTACTTTTACAGCCTGCCCAACTGTACCAGTGCGCGGCATGATCTTCCCCCACGAGTGCATCGTCATCTGAAGCCCATAGACAAAAACTACAGAAGCACCCATATTTATTTAGTCATCTAAACTATTCTTTATGTACAGTTTCAACAAACCCATTGTTAACTTAAGTATATTATTTTAACTGACCAATTTATTCCGAAATAAAGTTACACATTATTGAAAAGGAGATTTTTTTAAGGAAGTATATACCTATTTAACCTTATTGTGATAAAATTTCTTGTACCTACATTCCTCATAGTTCATCCCTGCAGATAACCTTTGCTACTGATTGCCTGACTACGTAAGGTTTATATTTTTTCTATGAAATAGAAGAGCAAACGAGTGAAGACGAATCACCTGATGTTAAGCAATCAGTTCTACACCAAACAAGTGCATTTCCAGCCTTTTGAAGGTGTGTAGAGCCAATGCTCTAATAAGGATGCTATAATAAAGACCAATGACCTTATTGTCAATGTTTTAATAATGCCACGATAGACGCTAACAAACAATAATCATTTTTACGAATAGATATTACATATGTTATATTTATTACTAATTGCATTTAGATTTACAGTCTCAAGTAAATTTAAATGCAACTAGAATATATTTTAGAAATTAACATTCAAATAAGATAGTATTTTCAAAAAAGATCACCTAAAGATTACTAATTGAAAACAAATGAATAGAAATCTGAAATACCAAATTAATGTCCATTATAAAAAGTCAGTACTTAAGTATTCATTCGTCATTCAGTACTTAAGTAAGTTGTGTTTGAATCAAACAAACAATAGTCAAACGAAATGCCAGTATAACCTAACAATTTTAAATAAAATGTATTGTGAACTAATTTTGAAAAGAATACAATTATAAAGCTACCGGAACCGGAAATCAGCTACAAACTACAAATAAGTAGGGTCTCATGTCACATGTTTTGACGTAACTTGCGTCTCACTTACTCATTAGGATAGTAAATTATGTCTACTCACCTACTCACAGGAAGTTCTGTCTGTAGTGACAGCTTTCATCGATCTGACATTTAGGTAGCAAATAATTGTTACCAAATTGGTAGATTTTTAAAATAAAAATAAAAATTCATTTAATTTATATTTTCTTGATTGTACATGATTCGTATATAAAAAATGTTAGAATATTTAAATTTATTTTTAATATAAAACTATATTAGAGCAATCTTATGAGATACGAACCTGCACGAACTATTCCTTAGAAACCAGATACAAAAATACATAATTTGAATCACAAATATTAGAAGGTACCATGATAGCATAAATGCGATCTAATTTAAAAATTATTAGATAGTTATTTTTTCTACTGTAGTAAGATTGTACCGCAAATTCTACTATCCAGTTGGTTTAGTAGAGTTTTGTAAAATTTACTGGTCACACTGAAAGTCGGAGCCGGCCGGTGCGGTCATTTTAAAATAATTCGCGCAGCGGTATTGTGCGGACGTATCTGAGCACCCGTGTCTGTGCAACCCCATAGTTGTGTTCCATATAATAAATCAATCAATCGATTCATACTCATGAAGCCCAAGATGGACGCCAGGCGAAGAGAGGCATTGCGGAGGATGACGGAGGCATTAAGAGCAGATCTATACGAGGACTATACTAGTGGGGAGTGGCAAACTAACCCTGTTCGAAACTTCAAGATGCTGTACAAATACAATACAGCAAATTGGCTAACCATGCTCCTCATTGGTAAGGATCCAAACGAGTCTGACCTTAAAAAAATTTTGGAACGGCTGAGGGCCTCGATGATTAAGTATGAAAAACTACACCCGAGTGGAGATCCTGGAGCTGAGGCCTTCATTCATAGCATGTTCGAGAATGTTTACAACTTGTAAGCCCCGCCAAGCGAATTTGCTGCGTCCCACCGCGAATTTCTATTATTTGCTGATTATGTGACTAGATAGATTATGCTGCAATAAGTTTTATGCTAAAATTCAGGAAAAATTGAGAAGCTTCTTGGCGATTGTAACACCACATCAAGAATACCATCGAAAACGTACTTGATTCACTTGTGAATAGCGCTTGAAAGACTCAAAGAACCTATAGAAAAGGTGGGAAACAGATATGAAGAAATCGAAGCACACGATATTTTCCTGGAATTAATGTTGCTACAGTAGAAGTACCCAAGATTTAGGCCGTAGTGTGATAGAATTTAAATATTATTTATGCTTATTGTGATACCTACCCCTGTCCCGGCTTATTGATGTCAAAAAAATAAATAAAAAAATGTAATTGGAGTTTTATTTCCTAAATGTACCTAATCTGTTAATCATTTACAATCACAATTACACAACTAACAAAAATATATTTAACACTAAAGTCTTTACTGTGGTCTATAACATCCATAATAGGTCTATACATACATAGAATAGCTTTCATCATGCACACCACAATACATACTGCACATCTGCCACTCAATTTAAAATTTCTCTTGGACCACGTCTAGAGGACATCTCAAATACTGGACATGATTCTGGAAAAGGTAGTTATTTAAAGAACAATACTTCAAAGTATGTAAGTACCTAAATCATTTAGGGCAGGTAACTATTTTAATGTCTGGGCTCGCTGCCATTGCAGCGGTAAGTCCCCTCTTTGAGGAGTGGCTTGAGAGTCGCTACAGCGTCGTCGCCTACGGCCTGACGCAGGTCCTCACATGACATGGGAACTGCGGGAGGTACCTGTGTCTGATAGGGCGGAAGGAAACGCCCGGGTGTCATCACTGCAAGGACCGGCCCGAGGACACGATGAAACACACTGTAGGGGCATGCGCTGCGTGGGCTGAGCACCGCCTTGCCCTCAGAGATGTGATCAACGACGGCGACCTCTAGCGTCCGGCCCTAGTTCCACCCTTGATCCAGAGCGAAGAGGACTGGGATGCCGTCTCCTCCTTTTGCGAAGCAGTCATGGTAGCTAAGGAGGCGACCGGGTGCGTGAGGCAGCGAAGCGCTGCCTGCTTACAGCTCAACCGTCGCGAAGGACACTCCGGGCGTCGGGGATCGCGGGACGATTTCCGGCCACAGCACGGGCCTGCGGACGTTGAGCATGGATACTTCGCCGCCCGACCAAAACCAGACCCGAGCGTCGCAAAAACCACCACGGATGGGGTGCAATAGGGCTGACGCCGATACGAAGCCGCGGAGGACTTAACAGGTTGTCAGGCTGCGGCTCGAAGGGCCGGAGTAGGAACGGGGTAATCTAACCTTCTCCTATAATCTTCCCCAGGTGCGGGTGGTCAATGAGGATTGTCCACCTTAAGGTAAAGAAAATACAACAAAAGTAGGTACTAGTGATTGAAATAGGGACAGTAAATGGTCAAGAAGAATGAATAGGTATGTGGGTATTTTGTCGTGGTCCACCTACCAGCTTCATTCTCTTGGGTTGATTATTGGTGTTGTTTCTGCCAGTGATTCACTTGTACGATGAATGATACACAAATCAAAACTGTCTTTAGGTCATGGTCCAACTGAAATTTATTTTAGATGCTTCTAGCATCCATAGTATCGGACTTGAATAGACACCGTTCGGGAAACTACGCAAATTCTTCTCGTCCAGAACATCTTACGCAAATTCTCAGTGCTTGAAGACTAATTTATAATCAGTGTGTCAAGATTTATGGAACCGAAGCATGGTCTTTCACTACGGGCCCTATGAAAAAGGCAGCGCGTATGCGCCGCTTCAGCAAAGCAGTCTGCTTATTTGGTGTTACTGGTGTACAAGAGTGGTTCCGGTTCCTATTACTATAGGAACCACTCTTAGTGCAAAGTGCAAGTGCTTTACCAGCCTTATTGTCCTTTTGACTTATTCTCCAGTCACCGATTTAAGGAATGGGAGAGAAAAGAATTGATGTTTAATGTCAGTTTTCTGTGAGGCCGTGTTAGGTATCACTCTGATCGAGCCGACTTAATGGTGACAAATCATAGCTCTGTTACGCTTTGCTTTAGTCAGTGTGACATTCACAGAAGCGTTTGACACATTGAGGTGTTGTGAGGTTGTATGTTCCCAAACAAAGCTTCACAAAAAGGGGGCCTTTAGGTTAGGTTAGGTTCAATTCGGTAGATATTATAAACCTTGCAAAGGGCTCTTACAAGAACCTCACGTTGATTACAGTTTGACATGACAGAATGTTTGTCCATGAACTGATTGTTGCACTATGATAAAATATCTTTTTCTTTTCCTCTTTCGTCGAAATAGGGAGTCACAGTAATCTCTTAAATCTTCTAAAAACATGTTTGTCACACAATGGTGTGGGTGTAAGGCGCAGTACGAAGGAGAATTGAATTTTGGGATGACAGTTGGAGATATCAGATCTCAAAAAAGGAGAATTAAATAAATCATTATTTGTTGTTATACTTTTTGTTAATAACAAAGGGTACATTCAAGAATCTAGTTTTAAAATTGGAACGGAGAAGAAATTGGAACGGTCTTGATCTTTGGCTAGAAAGAGTCTGACGAGACCATCATGCTCGAACTTCTAGTGGCGCACCAGTTACTTAATTAGAGAATTGTATCTGGTGGCAACTGCTTAGCGCTTAATGAAGTAGGACTCTGTACAAATACTCAAACGCCACGCAATTTAAAATCACGCTTGGGTGTAGTTCTGTCACTACACATTCTTTTGACAGAGATGGTACGATATTTAAGTAGGTACCTACAGCTTAAAATTTGGAATTACTTAAAGTCGTGTAACAAATAAACAGTCTTGAAGCAAATAATTTGTTAACAACATAGTACCGCATCCAGAACAAAATTCATCCATAAAGACCCAAGGGTCAACGTCTGTGACAGGAATAAGCTATAGATAGATTCACTTGTCGAGTAATCTTTTCAGTTCACGAGTCAATTGTCAGTTGCTACATAAAAGATGCATAAATTGAAACCGGCACTTGTTAGACTGCAGCTAGGCTATTCTGTAACTTTTAAATTCAACCAATGACGAGCGAGAATGCGATCGAGGTACTTCGAATTGCCATTTTGGAGTTTTTTATACGGCATAAGCCGGCAAACGAGC